TTTAATATGCCCAGTTGGGGATAAAACATCACATTTCTATAACTTTTGACTAAAGAGCTTATATTTCTCTAGTTAAAAATTTAAAGGAACTCTCTTTCCCTTCATAAAAGGCCATTTATTTCTCTTAAAGCCCCCTAAAATAAAATTAATTTAGGGTTTTAAACAATTGTTAACATCAAGTAGTAATTTTTAATATTTTTTATTCTCATTATTTCTGCAAGCAAGCCTTTGTGTAGCACTTGGTATCTTCTAAGTGCTATGAAAACAGTTTCATTGATTATGTTTCACAGAAGGGAAGGAGAATGTGTTCAATGAGGGATCGAACATGGTGATATGTAGTATCATGATGTTCTTCACCAAATTTAACGTTCCCGATCACAAATTCCAAGATAATACAATATAATTTCTGTGCATTTCTCCTCATCAGGAATGTTGGAGGTGCATTTTAAGTTTTAATAATTAATGCTAGAATGACCAAATTGCAGACTAATTGTTTCCATATTGTACTTCAAATGAGTTTTTAAAAATGAAAAAGATGACTACACAATCAATGCTATTTATTGTACCTCTGGGCCTACTCTTCTAAAAATTGTAGCTTATCGATTTTTCTCTGTCAAGCTTGAACTAATGTAAATAATTGAATAATGTAAAGTTATATTTTCATGTTTTTATAGATACAACATGACAACAATACATAATGCAAGAATATTTCAACTATGGATAATGTTGATTGGATAATGCACATCTCAGTTACAAAGCAGTAATCATAGTTTAATATCCATGTAACGGTGCATCAATATATTGCTATATAAATATGTCTGTGTGCATATAAGTGAAAAGTGGTCAAACAAGAGTGATGACAGCTGTCTAAAGGTTTTTTTATTCATTTTATATAAAAACTGTTCTGGAAAGACCAAAATGTTTATGAACTATTCTTATGTAAATTTACAACTGTCCTCTACTGTACTTTTTTGTTTACAGTATAGTACCTTATTTTCTGCTGTGTTAAGTGGGTGTCAAACTCCAAGGAGACATACACTTTCTACAACTTCTATTGAAGATATTGGAATTTCCAATTTTTCATGTGTACTATGTCGGAAAATGCTTTTGATTTTATTTTTAAATCTAACATCGGATGGCTTTCTCAGAGTGTTGTAAAAACTTCAATCATACATAAAACATGTTCTTACAAAAGGCAAAGATCTTTATTTTTTTTATTGAATAGTTCTTTAAACTAATCATAGTGAGAAATCAAAAAGTATATTTAAGTTTATTCCGAAACAAACCTGGCTGTTTCTATCAAACAAATACATCTTTGCTCAATTTATAGGTCAACTAAGTACAAATGTAATAGAGTAGAAATAACTTTCTCTTTTTCAGCTAAAATGAGTAACATTTTCAGTATTCCAAGTCTACAATCATTAAGTGCTTTGGGCATATGAAGAACTATGACTGAATTGATCACATTTCTTATTTTTTGGTAGATATCAATGTCCTACATTGCTACCATCAGCCATTACACTGTGTGTTGTAAGATCAGTTGTTTTTACAGTCCTATTAAAGAGCCAGAATGGTGACTTGCTCTACAAATTCCATCAGGGAACGCATTTCCAGGCTTACATGTTTCCAAAAATGTGGTCATTTATTGTTTTACAAGAGTACTAATGAGAAACTTAAACAGTTCTGATTAAGTCTTTTTATAAAGGTGATCATTTCAGTATTTAGGCAGTCCTTTGTACGTAAGTTCTAAAATTATTAAGACATTTTAGTTCTTCGAAATTGCACATTAAAATTTCTTTCAAAAAATTGGTGGGTTTTAATATACTTATTGTTTAATGGATGAGTATGCAAATGCATCTGCTTAAAAATACAGTAATCTTGACTTTCCACTCTGCAAATATGTTAAATATTTTAGTGGTCATGGCAGGAAATTAAGCAAATGCAGACAAGCATTAACAGTATAACAACCCTACAGGATGATCACAACACAACACCTTAACCATACCATTTAAAAAGAACACTTACTGAAACTAATTAGAATTCAGTGTGTTTTCTCCCCTTCTTTCTATCCCCTATCTCATCACATACTAGAGTTATGAATCTAGTAAATTAAAAAAAAAAAACTCAAGAATCACCTCTACCTTGAAATGTATCTGTGGGTTAACTTGTTTTCAGCTGTGTAGAATATATTATCTATTGCACTTTGAGAGCCGTCTAGTCTGTTGTGTAAATTAACTTGTAATTTAGGCAAATAATCTATTTACCTCTAATTTGACTGAAGTAAGTAATGTTTTGACTGACTTAGTTGCATAAATTCTGTCTTATCAATTTTAGTTGATAATATATGCTCTATTAATATACTATGAACTTTGGAGAGTTTATTGGTTAAGTCTCACAAATTTTATATGAGGTCAAAATAAGCTTATTGAAGGAAATAGAAGAATGAGGTATATATATGTTTAAAAGTAAAATAATTTTGTCCAAGGGATTCTAATACTTAAAATTGGTTTATTTTTAAATCACCAACATGAAAGATGGGTAAGTATAAAAAAAAACCATCATGATATTCTGAAAGAAAATCGGGGGATGTATTAAATGGTTTGTGAAAGTTGTAACCAATTTGATTAAAAGGAGGGGTTCATTTCTTACTGTATTGCTTTGACTAGACTATGACACTGGAAATTCGATTAGGTTCTATCAGTAAATTATACTTTCTCTATGTCTATGTTTTCAAATAACACCAGCTCATAGGCAGTATATGGCACTCTAAGTACATGAAGGTTCAAAGATATTTATATAAATATGGTATTCAGGCACAGAGATGAATGCGAATGACCTACTACCTAGTACAAGCAAGGAAGTGCCTGGAGTAAACCTGGATCATAAGAATTTGTGTATACATTTTATATCCTGTCTCTATTCTTTTCCTTCATGCTTTACCATTTTACATTCTCTTCCTGCCCTTAAGTACAACTGCCATTTTTCATATATTACACCTCAGATGGTCCCTCAGTTTTTAGTTTCATTCATCTTGCTTTTTTGCTTTTTCTCCATCATATCCCATCTATTTCTGGCCTGTCTTTAATGAGAGATTTTGCTTGGAGGGCACTTGGAATACAGTTCATTTTGTCAAAGACAGGTCTGACAGTTTCAGAGTCTTCTTAATAGCTGTAATAAATGACTAAGAATTTCTCCAATGAAATAAAAATTTCCTGCAAAGCTCTATTTCTGCATGACTCACATATTCTTACCCAATAATTGTAAATGTGCGATATTCCTCCATGTACTTAAAGAGTCACACAATTTATAGACATTTTGTAGGAAGTGGGAGGCTCTTCAATGGAGCAGGAAGAGCGGGAACTCTATTTTTAATATATGTGCTCATCAGAATCTCTTTTTAAAGTCACTTTACAATGAGCACAAGCCAATTGTTTATTTTAATTCCTCTCTCAAGCACTTCCAGATTATTCTCTAATTGCCTTTTCCCCCCACTAGGTATAAGTCAATTGTGCTATTGTACAGACCAGATTCCTTTACAAATAAGCATAAACTCACTGTTACTTCATTGGGTATGCCTGAATTCGCTGAATGAATTTGGTCATTTTTCTTTCTTTTTTTTTTTCCTTTCAGGTTAATGTGCCAATTTCATTTTATTGTAAATTGGAATGTGGGGGAGTGGATTAAGCACTTGGGAGGGAGTCAAAACCAGGATTCTAGCTTTATCTCTCCTTGTTTCACGCCTCCCTTTGTCTCTGTCTTCTCAACTGGAGTATGTGGATACTAGGACTATCTCATGACAATGATGCAAGGAGATTTAATATAATTTAAAACATAATGTAACATTGTGTCTTCTTTAAAAAATGGCTTGAAGGAGTAAGTTTGTGCATTGGAGTGCCAATTGATGTAGAAAGGTTTTTGGCATTATTTACAAATTTGTTTCCTCATCTCAAACCATTAGAAAAGCCGTTCTGTCCTCTAAATTTCAGTCATTCAGCTACTGGTTCATTCTAAGAAAAAACATTTATTTAATGTGTCCTGAATAAACATAAACTGAAGGTAAGGGCTAAATTTGAAACCTGTATTCTAAGGACTAAGTATTATATGTTCTTTAAAGCATGCAGTTCTTTGATCCTGCCCACTTAGAAATACTATTGTCAGTATATGGATGACTCTGTGACATTCAAGAGTTCTATATTTCTGTCCCAACAATTTTCAACCAAGGCATTCAAATGTTAATTAAGAGTACATATCTGATAATATTTATCAACAACATCTATAAATATAGACTCATATTTTTCTCTCTCTCAAAATTTAGATTGTGTAAATTTTGCTTGTCTGTAAATTTATTTGACATCTGATCAGTAGCTCTGTTTTCAAAGACTCAGATTAAATCCGTTAACAAATTGCACAGTTTGGTAATTTTAAATTGTTGCCATCTGCATGGCTTACATATATCTACAATCTGTTTCTTTAGATAAGAGTTTAATTCAAATAACACTCAACATATTTTGGTCAGCAGCGAAACAGTATCTTACAATCAAACTGTAGCAAAAATTTTAAAAAAGTATTTTTAAAACAAGCTCATAATTTCTTAATGATGGGCCTACCAACTGAGAATTTATTCATGAAAATTCTTAAAATGAAAGTCACTATCATTTAAAAAAATTTACTTAAACATTTCCATTAAATTATACCCAAATTAAAAAAGGATATTTAATTTCAAATGGAAAGCATTTTGAAGGAATTTACACTTTCATTGGGTTTCCTAAACCAAAGAAAAATGCATTTTACATTTAGGAATTCATACATTATAGACATGCTATTTTAAGTATCCCCCATCATATTGCCAATATTAATAGGTAAGGAAGTCCATTTGGTAAGAATTGTAATAAAAATTGATTATAAGTTAACTTGAGCATATTTTCCATGCCTTTTTTTTTTGGCTCATTATAATGTAATTTAGAAGGTTTTTATGTAAAAATCACTTTTACCCCCAACATCTCATGGTCAAGAATTTTGTGTTAAAAAAATCTTGTGCTTCTTATAATTTTAAGCTATTGATATATT